ATCCTCATCAAGAACATACTATGTGCCATGCGTATCTCTAGACAGAGAGAATGTAGCTGGGAATAAAGCCAAGTTCCTACAACCAGGGAAAATGTTTGCTCATCTGTCTGCTCACCTCATTGCAGTCATTCTTTTCATCCTCCTAAAGCATGGCTTTGGAGAAATGTTGCTGGAAGCTCCATGGATTATGAGTTTCACTCTGGAGGTAGTCCTGTTAAGAAGGGGGGCTTTTAGGAGGTAGGACTCGCAAGAAGTCAGAGAACTTTAGCATGTGGGACCTTCAGGAGCTGAGATCTTTAGGAGGTAGGACATTTAGAAGTGGAGCTTTCAACAAGTTGAGTCTTTAAGAGGTGGGTCCTTAAAGAAGTGGGACCTGCAGACAATGGCACTTAGTAGGAGGTCAGTGGGTAGATGGGCAATACCCTAAAGGATATTACGAGAGTCCACCTTTTCTCTCTTTTTTTAGCATTCATATCATGAGGTAAGTAGTTTGTTCCTCCATGTGTTCCCTGATATCATCATGTGGCACCCCACTATATATGCAAAACAATAGATCTACCTGATTCTCGGGTGGAACCTCTAAAATGGTGAGCCAGCCAGGATAAACTTCTTCTTAGTCCATTACTATCTAAGGTACTTTGTTAGAGTGACATAAAGCTGAATAGCCAAACAAGGAACTGAAAATGAATTCTCTATGATAGGAGCCATGATATTAAATATTGTTCCAAAAATTACCTGTCTATGACAGGTCCCTTCTTCAGTTATTTTCTAATACTTGATTGCATTGGCCAAGACTAATCATAATGTACAACTGTATCTAATTAGTTTAGTTACTGCTGGACTGTCTCTATGTTGAATGTTATCTATTTATTTGCTTGTTTTTGAGATTATGTACCTTCTCTCTCTTTCCCTCAAGAATAAACTCCAGCACTCTGGGAATCCTTTGATAAGTACGAGAGAGTTGAGTAATGCTGCATAAGCCAGTAACTAAGTCAGAAATGTATTTTGGTCTTTAAATTTTAGTTGGTAACAATTGTGTGCATAACACAGCCTATCACCAAGGCTTGCTCTGAAGACCAGTGCACAAAGTTGACCTTTGGAAGTACCAACTTTCATTAATTGAATTTAACATCTTTGATTTGGATCCAGAAATACTTTTTGGTGTACTAATCCACATCCCAAGTAGAAGGAGTGAGCCATAGTAAATCTTTATTCCATTGATATCTCTGTGTGGGGGATATGGCTCATTTAGTAAATTGCTTACCTTTTAAGTATGAGAACCTGAGTTCAATTCCTAAAACCCACATAAAATTCCAGGCATGGTATTTGATGTTTGTAAGCAAAGACGTGTAGATTCCTGGAAGATCACTGACCAACTAACCTGACCAACTCAGTGAGGTTCCAAGCCCTTGGAGGATCCTGTCTCAAGCAAAAAGTGGAAGCTATCTGAGAAACGAAACCTCTGGCTATCCTCTGACCTCCACATGCACACCTAGACACTAACACACCTACACATGTATGTATAGACATATGTGTGTATATGCATTTGTATATGCATATGAGCATTGATGCTTGCCAAATTCAAGATGAGACACCAACATGAATGATCTAGACCTCACACACAAAAAGGACAGTGTTTACCATGGGTTCCCATTATTCTGAAGAATCAACATTCAGTTGGTGGCCAATACCCTTTAGACCTATTTCATTGAGCGTAAAGAATTGTGCAGCCACGGGGGAAGTAATCAGCTGCTCACCTGTTGGAGCTCACATATCTGAAGTGGGCCCATAGTTACTGTGGTGGACACTAGCTGTGAGAACAGGTAAGACATGGCAATTATATACTGGGAATCATGGAATGTTTTCACTGACTTTCTAAGGCTCCTTCTGAATGTGCAGCTTCAACAGGAGAGCATTTCTTTGGTGCATGGGAGCATATCTTTGAAGATGAAATGGTGTTCTGTCCTAGGGGCTGGTAGAGGAAGAAAGCTGGGGGTGGAGAAATCAAGGAAAGAGAGGGGGAAACCCTGCTGAGTTTAATCTGAACAGTGTATCCATCACCCAAATGATACAAATCAGCCATTACTGGATCCTGCAGAAGCCACTCTCCTACCTGTGATCCCTCCTTTGCTTTCTAAGCCTCTTTGCAGCCCAGCCTAATGAATTGTCAGAGCTGTCAGGGAGCCGTAAGGAATGACAAATGTCTATGATTTGCTGCCGCTGCTGCTGGTTCGCTGGAAACACCTGATGTATGTAGTCTTGCATTCTTCAGTTTCGAATTAGGGACTTGGAAAACAAAATCGCCCTTGATAAATATAGCAATTTTTCCTCTGTTCTGTAAGCTGAGCTGAAAGGATACCTTGAAAGATAAAGACCATTCTTTTGTTCTTGTAATGTGTACATGGCACCGGTAAATCTCAGACCAAAAGCTAATGTCCAAGTTGTGGGGTGTGAGTGGTGGTTGGACGCTAATAGCCAATTCATAGATTAGGCATTGTCTTGCATTATTTTTGTCAGTGTTAATGATCTGTTTCTCTAGGTAACTTCTGCTTCTTGCTTAATGCCTTTCCAGCGGTTCTCAACCTTCCTAACGCTGAGACACCCTTAGTACGGTCCCTCATGTTGTGGCCACCCCCAACCATAAAATTCTTTTTGTTGCTGCTTCACTGCTGTGATTTTGCTAATGTTATAAATCATAACATAAATATTTTTGGAGACAGAGGTTTGTTGAAGGGTCACAACTCTTGGATTGAGAACTTCTGCTGTAGACCACACAGAGCGCAGCAAACCTTCCATCTCCACAGCAAGCATCCAGGATGAGATAACACTCCACACGACCTTTGGTGACTTTTTTTAAATTATATTTTTGTAAAAATAGGAGCAACTTCAAGTATCTGATGTTTTCCTACATTAAGAATATATTTATTGCTAAATAAGCTTCTTCACTGGTATGAAAATTATTTTGGGTACTTCATGTTTAATTTATTCAACAAAAAGATAAACCTGAGGCTTTCACTGGAAAGTATATACTTTTTAGAAAGGGTCTTCTTCAAATAAACAGAAATTTACTAAAATTTTGAATAAATTGAAAAAACAAAAAGGTTGACACATGGAGATTATCTTTATATTTTTATGTATAACTTCATGTACTGATTACATAGTTTTGAAACTAATATTTAAAAGTAAATGTTAGCATGTTAATCTCTTCATACTTCCATTTCACATATGATTCCACATTAGCTGGAAAGACAGAAAAGTTGGTGATGTTTGTAGGGATCATTGCATTCCTGCATAATTATCTCTTTGGCTTAATATCATGATAACTTATCTCAATGGTAAAACGTGATGATTGTATTTCATACTTTAATTTCTATTCTTCCCCATAGTTATAATTGTAGAACTGTCAATTTTCCAGTTTTATGGTCTCTTTGGAATTACTTCTTTTTGGTCAACTTCTACAACAAACGTTTTCCTGTGTTGAGACCTGGGCTTAAGCTTTGACAAGTTATTAGTAAGACTATCTGCTTTCCATTCTTTGTTTTAATGCACTTGGTGACATTTTGAAAAGAGGCAAAAGAAGCTATTGGGAAAACGCTTATTTTCACGCACAAATAGAACCTGAACCATAGGCCAATAATGTGGGTCTTGGTAGTTGGCCTCTACTACTGAGTGCCTTATGGACTGAGGGGCAGTGGGATGACAGTATGTGATAGAGTACCGGGTGTGGGGTTTGGTTCCCAAAGCTTGGCTTCTCTTCCTTCATGTGCAGTCTGGAGCAGGGTCTCCCTACGGAGAATGCAAAGTTGTCATTGTTGTTGCCAGGAATAAAAATATTATGTATGACACCGAGTTACAATAGGTCATCAACAGAGTGTAAATACGAAAGGACACATGCTTATATTTTGATCATTGTGATGAATAATCTCAATTGTCAACTTGGGGAGATCTAGGTGCACCTGAAAGACCAGCCTTAGAACGGCAGAACATTATCTTGATTAGGATAACTGTGGTGGGAAGACCTGCTGGCTGCAGGTGCACAGTTCCCTGGCTTGGGATCCTGGACTGAAGTATAAAAAAGGAGAAAATGAGCTGGGCAGGGGCATTCATCGTTCTCTTCTTCCTGCCCACAGATACAAAGTAATAACTGTCTCTTGCCACTATAGTTCAATTTCCCAGCCATGATGGACTGCACCTCCAAATCTTGAGCCAAAAGAACTATTTCTCCACTAAGTTGTTCTTATTTGTTTGTTTGTTTGTTTGATTGATTGATTGATTGATTTTTCTTGGTTTTTTGAGACAGGGTTTCTCTGTGTAGTTTTGGTACCTTCCCTGGAACTCATTCCAGGGAAGGAATGATTTTCAAAATAAGGAATATATTTCTTTTGAATATTTTAATAATCCAACTTTGCTCGTCAACACTGTACTTCTCAAGAGCCCTTCAAGTCCCACACTGAGCCAATGTCTAGGCAAAATCCTGTGCACTTGAGCAGACAAGCAGTCTCAGAGGGCTCCTGTCTTGCTCAGACCCTTAGTCAGGAGGCAAGGAGAAGAAATGTGGTCCTCTGCATAATAATGTGAAAGGAGGGGTCAGAAGAGATGGTAAATGCACACAAAAAGAGTAATTCTATGATAATAACAAGTAACTGTGCAAAAGGAATATTTTCAAGAATTATTTAGACTGTCTATAGTTCTTCATATTTGTAAAATGCTTTATACATTATACAGAAAATTTTCAGCAATAACAATTTTAAATATGGAAGCAGGATGTCCTCTACCTCACAAGAGAGGATTCTGGGTATGAAGAACTTAAGGACCGACCTAAGGAAAATTCTTTGGAGCATCCATGAGACATCTAGGAAATTGAGAGCTAGTTTTTTGTCCTTTAGTACCTGATGATAAGGAAAGTCCTGGCATCGGCAGTAGGTGATGGTAGTGATTTGTAGGCCAGCCAACAATAATAAAGTGTAAAAGCTGGGGCTGGAGAGAATGCTGATACATACCTGAGATAGCAAGAGTAGGGCCCGGGATGTGGCTCATTGAGCTACACACTTTGTGTTCAAACACAAAGATGAAGATACAAGTTCGGCCTCCAGCAGCCATGTCGGGGGACTGACAACCACCTGTAACTCCAATTCTTGGGTGGGAGTTCCTGGTTTTGAAAGAGGTGAATGACTACAGGGCATATATGATTCAGTACCTAATTTCCTCATGGAGGTCTAGTCTTTTGTCAGTTAATTGGGGTTTCCAATGAACTCAAGTCTGCGACTGGATCCAGATATATTTCTTTCTTTATAAATTTGATTTTATTTGTTAATTGTATTTTATTTATTGTCTGTGTGTATGTGTATGCTGTAGGTGCATGCCTGCAGGTGTGCTCTCTTATGTGGATGCTAGAGGTCGATATGGAGATGTTTCCTTAATTTCTCTGTCAGCTTATTTTTTGGAGGCAGTTCCCCTACTGAACCTGGAGTTTCTCATTTCAGCTAGGCTTGCTAAGCCAATGAGATCTAGAAATCCATACATCTCTGTTCCCCCTATGCACAGCACTGGGATTATAATTATACACCACTACACTGACTTATTAAACTCAGGTCCTCATGTGGTAAAACAAGCTCTCACTACTCTGAGACATATCATAACATATTACTAGCTCTCCGCTTTATAAGTGTGTGTGTGTGTGTGTGTGTGTGTGTGTGTGTGTGTGTGTGTGTGCTGTTTGCAAAGGTGAATGGGGGGATCACATCACTATGACTAGGGAAACATGCAATAAATTTCTCCTTTAAATTATTTAATAGCTAAAAGGAATCTTGATTTCTAAGTTTGGGAATATGTTAAGCCTCAATTTTTAGCTAATAGTAGTGTTCTTTTTATTCTCTATGAAATTTACCACTATTCATTCAAAATACATAAAACTATAGGGAAATTAACCTTTTTACTTTAGTTCCATTTTTTGCTCTGACCTCTGTCTAACCTTACTGTGTGGCCCCTCCATCACTTTTGATTGATTAGTAAAATAATGGGTAACTGGACTGGAAATGGGGAGAGAAGTGTCGGATGGGATTGAAAAAATAACCCTCCTTTTTTGTTTTTGTCTTTTTTTTTCTTTTTTAAAATAAAAGCTTTCATTTCAGTTGAATAAATAGCAAAGCACAAACGTTGGGCAATGGATTTGGAGGTATTGAAGTAGAAAGGACCGTGTGGATTTCTTCCTTGCTGTAGAAGATAAGAAACTGGTGAGGTTTTAATGGTGGGCCCACTCCAGACCACTTTACAATACAGATGTCAGATGGGAATGAGGAAGACAGACTCAAACAAAGGCAGGGTGATGTAGGGACTCAGGGAGCTGGTAGTCTCACAAGGGTTGGGAAAACTGTGTATAAAATAAGAACAAAACTGAACCTTCACCTGAGCCAAAGTGACATCAAGCTCTTTTAAGAAAAATAATCACTGTGAATGTGGCATTGCTCCTTTTCATATTCTGTCTCATGGTTGCCCCTTTGACACCTCTGATGTATCAGATGGAGAATTGTCAAGGTCTCACTTGGCATTACTTCCAAAAGAGGAAAACTAAATGCCCATAAGACCAGAGATGGCAGTTAAGCACAAACACAGAAGTGAATTTAGACACCCAGATGCATTCATGCAAATCCCAGCAAGCAAGAGGTTAATGCACCAAATGCATTAACATGCACCCTATGTTTACTCACCCTATTCAAACTTCCATCTCTCACTCTCTGGGGTCAACCATCTCCACATGCAAACTCTGGCCCACAAAATCCCAGGCATCTTCATCTATTATCTTAGGTGCCAGAGTCCTTGGTGAAGGGGACCATCCCAAAGCAATCAGTGTCACATCCCCAGTGAATGGTGCAGTGGATATCACTCTGTATAAATAAACACTGATTGGCCGGTAGCCAGACAGGAAGTATAGGTGGGACCAACAGAGAGGAGAATTGAGGGAACAGGAAGGTGGAGCAGGAGATGGGCTGGAGCCGCTGCCAGGACAAGCAAGATGTAAGGTACCAGTAAGTCACAAGCCATGTGGCGAAGTATAGATTAATAGAAATGGGCTAAATATAAGAGTAAGAGCTAGACAATGATAGGCCTGAGCTAATGGCCAAGCAGTTTAAATATTGTAAGAGTCTGTGTGTTTATTTTATAAGTGGGCAATGGGACTGGCGGGACTTGGTGGGAGCTGGAAAGAAATTTTCCAGCTACAAATGGATGCTGTCACTGATCTACAGCATCGAGGAATCAAGTCATCTCACTTCAGGTAGTCCTTATCACTCCACACCTGTCATCATGTGGTGTGGGGAGGAGGAGTAAACACAGTAGCCTTGGAAGTGTTGGCTTCTTCCAAGGATGGTCTTTTCCTTGGTCCTTAAGCCCCTGTGTCCTCCGTGTGATTATCATCTGCAACTCAACAACTAGAAGAATTTGTCAAGCAGTGTTGTAGAGTCAAACTTGACTCAATGCCTCTCACCTCTGCATACACATGTGTACACACACACACACACACACACAGGCTTCCAGAGGTGCCACTAGCAGTCTTTCTCTTCTTCAACCTCTCCATGCACTTTTGACTTAAAAACCTCACGTTTGTGATGAAATAAAGGTGGTTTTCAGATGTGAAAGCAGCTGGTATTTTAACTGTGAATGCCAATGTATATGACAGAGCCCATATATTGCTACCACTCAGATATGACATAAAGATGAAGAAACAGATGTAGAGCAAAGTGCACAGGACAGATCCTGTTCTTCAACTCACAGAGCCAGATCACTATGGCAGAATCCGACAATGCTCTTATGTTTTGGTGTTCACCAGGTATTATGTCAACCAGATGGGAAAGGAAGACCATTATGTGACCTCCTCACACTTTGTGTTAACCTTTGAAAATAATAGCTTATTGGTAGAGTTGGGGCTCTGGAGTTTCATCTGGAACACTGCCCCCCCCCCACACACACACTGCAGAGTTTCTCGGGTTTTAAAAATATGGCTATTTTAAAGTCAACAAAACAAGAGCTTAGATTTTCCTGCTTGCTTCTTCTCACATTGATCATCACCACAATCACTACTAAAGCAATGATGATTTTCAGTAAGGGTGATCACAGATAAATTGGACATAAATGCTCCAGAGGGCTCAGCACCACCCTACCACCCATGTCTGTCTACCCATAGTCAGGAGACACACCTGGTTTAACTAATGTCAATATGCAGCCACAATAATAATGATGACGATGATGTGAGGCTGGAGAGATGGCTTAACAGTTAGTATCACCTGCTACTCTTCCAGAGGAACCAAGTTCAATTCCAGTACCTATAATTGTGGTTCAGAACTGCTTGTAAGTCAAGTCCTGGAGGATCTGATGCCTTTTTCTAGCCTTCAGAGCCAGGGAGCTAGTATGTACATACTCACACAGGTGCATATACATATACATAACTAAAATAAATACATCCTTAAACAACAACAGCAACAGATAATCACTATGTTCCTGTCGTACTGTAAACAGGTGCCAAAGCACTATGTGGAGGTAGACAATCTCACCCAGCTGAATGAAGAAGGTTAGGGACAGAGGTATGAAGATGGGGATACTGCATGTTTCAAGGCATGCTTTCCCATCAGAAACAATTGCTTTCATTCTCTCCTAATTTTGATATAGGTTGGCTTGGGTCCTTTTGCCAGGCTCATGTATGGAAGTCCCAATGCCTAGCTAGTGCCTCAGGCTGTGACCTCATGCAGGAGTGGGTTCTTTGCAGATGGGATGAAGCTCAAAAGAGCTCGTCAGGGTGGCACTTCATTCAGGATTACTTGTGTTCGTATTTGTCATTATTCTTTGTTTTGTTCTGTGTTTTGGGACAGGGTCTTACTATGTAGACCTGGTTTGCCAGAAATTCAATATGTAGACCAGGCTGGCCTCACACTGAGCAGGATCTGTCTGCCTCTCCTAGTGCTGGGATTAAAGGTTTGGCTACCTCACCCAGTCCAATAGTATTCACTTTTTATTTCTCAGACCATTCAATCCCCCACCACCCATTACACACACACACACACACACACACACACACACACACACACACACAAACCTCTCACTGGTCCCTTCCTTTCAAGAGCCCAAAGATACTCCTAGAGGTAAGAAAGAAATAAGAAGAGTTACAGAGAGGGATACCCATCTACATACACAGCACAAAAAAGATGCCATTGGTGGACCACCACTTCCATCATAGCTTTAGAAGGAACCAACCCTGCTAATCAGACCTGTTTCTGATCTGAGTCTGAGAACTGGATGGCAAATTTGTGCTCTTTAAGTCTTATAATTTGCATCGCTTTGTTATAGCAGCCCTTAGAAATCTAACACATGCTCATTAAGATTCTATTGTGTACCAGACACCTTAAATTAAAAGCATGTAATCTTCCCACTAACTTCATTACATGTTCGCTAAACGTGTTGAAACTGAGAGTTAGCTCATGCCGATCACTACCCTGTGAGCCATATTCTTGCTGGAATATAGCTTTAAACAAGCCTGACTTCAGACTCTCTATGGGCCTACAGTGACAGGCAGAGCAATGTTTTAAAATGTGTCTGTATTGCTGGAGTTTGGATAAAGTTCAAAAGTCTATGTGTGTATGGATGCTGGGTGTGTGAGTGTATGTTCCAATGTGCATGAATGCACATGTGTGGAGGCCAGAGGTTGACCTTGGGTGTCTTTCTCCAGTGCTCTTCACCTTATGTATTGAAGCAAGGTGTCTCCCTTGAACCCAAAGCTTGCTGATACAGCTAGCCCAGCTAGGCAGCTTGCTCCAGAAATCCCTCATCTCAACTTGAATGCTGGAAGGATAGACGGCCACACCTGTCTGGGTTTCACATAGGTGACAGGGATCAGAATGGTCCTCAACTGCGCAGTGAGCAGTCTACCCACTGATCCACCTCCTCACTCCTTAGTGTGATCTTTTTAAAGTCATTAGAGTTGTAGCTCATAAACAATTGACAATCACAGATCTACTATACGTATAAAAGAGAAGACAGTGTTGGAATAACTGGAAGACATGAAGAAAGTAGGGAAATTGCCATTCAGTGCTATCTATTGCCCCAAAGGCAGT